ATCGTTCACCTTCGAAGACCTGAATCAGAACACCCGGCTGGTTGTCGGCATACGTCGAGAATGTCTGCGACTTTTTAGTGGGAACTGTCGTGTTACGAGCAATCAGTGTCGTCATGACACCACCAGCTGTCTCGAGTCCCAGTGAGAGTGGTGTCACGTCGAGCAGAAGAAGATCTTGCAGTTTTTCAGACGAGTCGTTACCACTCAAAATCGCAGCCTGCACTGTAGCACCATAGGCAACAGCCTCGTCGGGGTTGATCGACTTGTTTGGCTCTTTGCCGTTAAAGAAGTCGGACAACAGTTGCTGCACCTTGGGAATACGAGTCGACCCACCCACAAGCACCACTTCGTGTACCTGACTTTTAGAAAGCTTCGCGTCACGCAGCACTTTCTCCACAGGCTCCATCGTTTTGCGGAAATAGTCTCCACACATGTCTTCAAAACGAGCACGAGTAATGGTCGAGTTGAAGTCGATACCGTCGAAAAGCGAATCAATTTCGATGTATGCTTGAGCTGACGAAGACAACGTACGCTTAGCACGCTCACACGCAGTACGCAAACGACGCAGGGCACGCTGGTTCTCCGTGATGTCCTTGCGGTGCTTACGTTTGAACTCCTGCGTGAAGTGGTCTACAAGACGATTGTCAAAGTCCTCACCACCAAGGTGGGTGTCACCAGCAGTAGCCTTCACTTCAAAGATACCTTCCTCAATGCTCAACAGCGAAACATCGAAGGTACCTCCACCAAGATCAAAGATCAACACATTGCGTTCACCGCCCTTCTTGTCCAAGCCGTATGCAATAGCAGCAGCCGTAGGCTCGTTGATAATACGAAGTACGTTAAGACCAGCAATTGCACCAGCGTCCTTAGTTGCTTGACGCTGCGAGTCGTTGAAGTAGGCAGGAACCGTGATAACAGCATTTTTTACTTCCTTGCCAATAAATGCTTCAGCTACCTCACGCATTTTGATCAACACCATGGACGAAATTTCTTCAGGCTGGAAGGTTTTCGATTCGCCCTTAAACTGTACAACGATCTGCGGTTTGTCACCAGCGCCAGATGTCACCTTGAATGGCCAGTGCTTGATATCAGCCTGAACAAGCGGGTCCGAAAATTTGCGACCAATCAAACGCTTAGCATCGAACACGGTGTTGTGCGCGTTCATGGCCACTTGGTTCTTAGCCGCATCACCAATCAGACGCTCGGTGTCGGTGAAAGCCACGTATGACGGAGTAGTACGGTTACCCTGGTCATTGGCAATGATTTCTACACGGTCGTTTTGCCACACACCGACACAGGAGTACGTCGTACCAAGATCAATACCGACGGAGTATCCAGATACAGATTGAGCCATCTTATACTAGAAATTTGGGTTTGTTTAAACTTGTCTTCTTATCCACAAAGGAACTTTGGAAATGAATCATCGGACTACTGGTCGGCTGAAGGATATGACAGGAGGAGATTAATGGGAGCAACATTCGAGACTATTCCGATGACGGCAAAACTCTCGTTGTAAGAGAATCAGATTGGCTTAAATTTTGTAAAATGTAGGGTTTTGATCAATCGTCAGCTTCTATGAAGGCTTCAACCCTGTCGAATGTTCTCGAAGCTGCAGCCATCGTACAGCCAATCACAGCTTCAAATGACGTTAAGTTTAGCATTGGGAAATCTCTTGATCCGGAACATTCTGCGATTAAATCAGAATTATATGCTCAGGTTCTTGATACTAAATCGTAATTTATTCGATTATAAATTACATCTAACATGTATTTTATCTATTAGAGACCGCAAGAATATCCATCACAAATCAACTAATGAAGAGCCCGAGTGGTAAGTGCATATGGGCTCCAACTCGTGTCACTCGCTGTTCGAGCCCGATCAACTACTGATGTTGTCTGCCATATCTCTATAATTGCCAGAACTATAAAAACTCATTTTGAAGATTTTTTGATATGATTTTACCCTGGGTGATGGATTGCGTAAGCTGTAACCGGGTTACACGTACCCTGGTAACAGGGTACACACACTCCTGGTAATAGGAGTGTGTGTCACACGAGATAGGCATGGTGTGACTGCACCCATATAAGAATACCGTATTTGGGTGGCTGGGTAGCCAGTAGGTATGCATGTATTAAAATTTTACTATATGTATTTAAGAAAATCTATACATTTAAAATTAGGCGGCTTTGCCGCAGCTCAAAATAAATAAAGTCAGTTTTGGATTTAAACAAAAGAGTTAATTAGCCTTGT